ACACAACAACACGACACACACACACACACACACACACACACACACACACACACATATATATATATATATATTAAATACTTATATATATATACTAGCATAATCAATTATTTGTGTGTACTTGGCTACCTACGAGTCTGATTGTACACTTCTAAATCAAATACAGTTACACACATAGCTCCATTGCATACTTCAATTGTGTGCATTTCGCATACAATCCAACAATTATCTGCATATCTGCATTCTACTCTCCACCTTAAATATGAAACATACCTGAGGCCATGGTTTATAGCGTGTATGACTGAAGTGGCCGGCTATACTCTCGTACACATCGTGCACGTGTTTGGCTTCGAAGGTGACCTCCTGATTCTGGTCAGGTGTGGGCTGTGGGGTTGTAGTGTCGTCTGCCGTGGGCTGTGGGGTTGTAGTGTCGTCTGCCGTGGGTGCCTTAGGTGATTCCGTGGCTGACATTTTGTTCGCACGTCTCGGCAGTGCTTAATACGACAAGAGTGATGGTACGTGCTGGGTCTACTAACAGCTGAGTGTGCTAAGGCGCGAATCAACAGACTTAAGAACAATGGTGAGGTGCAATACGGAATAGACGGTATGAATGTTCTAATAGGTGTCTTGGTATGAAGTTTACACGAACATGCTTCTTTACATTTGCCGCAGTTTATTGAGATTCGACAAAAACCCAACACCTTAAACGCAACACAAATTTTGATGACACCCACAGGCTTACAACAATCTCATTCTGGTATACGACAATAGTGTTGAGGTTCTGGTGTTTTATTTCAGCCTTTGCTGCTGCATTTCACAGTCAAAAATCTCCCCCGGAACAATGAATAGTCTTGTCGTATACTGATTTACGACCGTTTCAAATCACTTCGAAAAGGCGGGAAAAGCATCTGGAATCATATATCCATTGTCATGATCGGTTTTTTATACACAGACAGGGGGAGGCCACACAAATAAATAAATATGTAAATAGTATGTACGAGATTGCCCTCTCGAGTATTATTTAATATAGTTCTGGGTTGTTATTTAAAGCATCCATCTACACTGGAGAGTCAACGGCCGATTGTCTCTAAACAGTGAATAGACACTAAACAGTGCTGAGTGGGGTCTATAGTTCGCACCTCCGCAGAGCCCATACCGTTCAACCACTACACCACCCGCTTGCTGCTGGTATTCTCAGCGGATTGTTGTAGTTGTATGCATTGCGTGTATGCTACACAAGGATCTGTCGTTCATTCGAGGCCTGCAGGGTTATAAATATACATCCATATTGACTTCAGAGAGATACGCTACGTGCTCGTTTTCGGCTATTGTTGTGAATGCGTCCATGGTCAAGTGTGCTGAGCGCGTTTGCGGCCAATCCATAACTCACATCCGATGCAACTGTACTCACTACCACCACAGTGTACTCGGTCTTCTACCCACAACCACATACACTCTCCCACCACCTGTTCACCGCTGATATGGATCTGTCGTACACACTCGACGGCAAACAGGCCCAACTGTCACCAAACGGCGTGCACGTGGCTTCGGTCAGCAAGCACGTGCTCACCATCCGTCGGGCGGATGTCATTGCCAACGCAATTGCGCAACCGTTTGTTGCGTGTGATCTTATAACCTATATTGAGTGGTCGCCTGACTCACAGTACGTGTTGTGTGCGATCACGCTGCGAGGGAAGGTACAGGTACGTACGCATGTGTAGCTATGCGTATGCATATATGGGAATTGCATGTATACAGGTATACACACATATATATGCATGCATAGATGTGGAGGCGTAATGTGGTGTGTGTTTTTATTCACTGCACTGGGTTGTCTATAGTTGCGCACCGGGTGATAACAGCACCGTTCTTCGCTTAGGTGAAGTATGTATGTATCTCTATGGATACGTGCATGCACTGAGTTAGTCACTCAAATATACAAATGGTTGCAAACACCACATACGCACACATGTACGCTCAAATAGATAGTAATATTGTAGTATGTTCACAATATGTTGGTATAGGTAGATAGACAAACTACGACACGCCCGCCTGGCTATGTAATGCTGCTTCGGTCCTTGAGAGGTGCCTTGCGTTCATTGCTATTGAGCGATGGTTGTCTCAATGGCTGTTGAGTGGTGTTACACATGCCTGCCTGCTATCACCGGCAGCTGTTGTATTCAGACCGCCTATTCGGGTTACTTCAGTGTGTCTTATCACGTGCTGTTTACTTGTATGTCTGTGCGTGTACTTGACGACTTCCAATGAATGCACCAATCATGTTGTCCCAGGTATACAAACACACTCCCACCCCAACTACACTACTGACACTCCGCACGCAAACCATACCACCACCCCAACAACACCACTGACACTCGCTACGTTCACCATACCACCACCCCAACAACACTACTGACACTCCCCACGATTATTATACCACCACCCCAACAACAATACTGACACTCCCCACGCTAACCACACCACCACCCCAACAACACTACTGGCACACCCTACGTTCACCATACCACCACGCCAATAACACTACTGACACTCCCCACGCTAACCATACCACCACCCCAACAACACTACTGGCACTCC